CTATAGTAAGTAAATAATAAAGTTACTAGTAGTTTAATATAAAAAGCGTAAGTATAAAGTACGCTAGTGTTTAAATTAACGTAGTATACTTGTAATAAAGGAAAAAAAGTAAACTAAGCTAAAGAAGTCCTATTTTAATTTATTTTATACTAGTTTTAAGGTTACTTGCTAGACCCGTGTTAGTATTAGTTTTTAAAGTTCTTTTAATTTTTATTATTTTTAGTAAAATACTTATTTCTTTTAGATTTTTAGGTAGCTTGATTTAAAACTAAAGGTGTTTAAGGTTGCTAGTAAATAGGCAGCTAAGGTATTATTTATTAAATTATTTGCGGTGGTAATAGTTAAACCTAATAATTTAACCATGCTTAGTATACTTATAAATATAGCTAGGGTTATATTTTTTAAGAATACTAGTTAATTTAATAAAAATTATAATAAAGTTTTTTAAAAAGTTTTAATTTATTTTTTATTTACTATCTTATAATTTAACTATGTCCCTTTAAATATTAAACTTAAAGTTTAGGATATTTAGGAAATCCATTACTATAATATAATAGGTTAGCTTATTAATTTTTTAATATAACATGCTATTTAGCTTGCTTTAAGCTAGGATTAATTAATTAAATATATTACTAATATTTATTAATCTTATATTTTTAAAAACTTTTATATAAAAAAGTAAAGGGTTTTTTTAGCTTAAATATTTATAAAACTATAACTTATTTTTTAAAAATAAGTTATTATCTTAACTAGTTAAAGTTTAAAATATTTAATAAGCTTAGTAACCTATTTTTATTTTAAAAAAAATTTTATAGCTCCTGTTTATTTATATAAAATAGCTTAATAATATATTATTTTAAAGTAGCACCCCTTAAATAACTATAAATATTAACTTTTATTATTACTTCTTTCTTAAGAATTACTATATTAGGAATATAGTTAATAAAGGTTTATATATTTTTATAAAAAGTTTTTAACCCGCGCTTTTTTATTAATAAATTCTTATTATTAACTTTATTAGGCTAAAAGTAGTTAATATTTTTTATTTTTTAATAGTATTTTTTAACGCGGCTTTAGCCGGCGGAGGCTTTTCTTAATAAAAACTAGTTTTAGTTTATTAGCTAGTAAAATAAATCTACCTTTTTTATGTTTATATTCTTTTTTTATATTTTTTTTAGTTTTAATAAAAAAGGTTTAGGGGTTTTAATTTTAGTTCCTATTTTTAAGGCGCTTGTAAATACACCTTTAGCCTTTTAAAATAGGGTTTTAGTTATTAGGTCGGGCTAGAAACTTTATAAGTATTTTTAAGGTTTTATTTATATATATTTTTTAATTTTTATATTTTATTTATTTAKTCATTTTTCCGGAAATTTTTAAAGTTTTTTTTAACCTAGTTTTCAAGGCAGCTTGCTAGTTATTAATAATCTTTAAATAGCTATTTAATTTCTATTATAAAATTAATTTAAAGTCTTTATTTATTTAATAAAAACCTAGATTAAAAGGTAGCCAAGATAGCTATTAAAAATGCTATTAAAAAGGCCGTTAAGAAGGCTGTTAAAAAGGCTATTAAAAAGACTATTAAAAAGGCTGTTAAAAAGGTTATTAAAAATATTATTAAGAATCTAGATTTATTTATAAATTTATATTATGGATTTAAGAACTAGTATTAGTATTAATATTAATATTAATTATACTATTCTTTTTTATAATTAGCAAGACAGGGGGATGCCTAGGTTTAGTAATTAGCTTTATAAAATACTTAAGTTTAGTAATTAAATTTGCCGCTATTTACTTTAAATAATACTAAAAATAACCGCTAGTTAAACAAGTTTATTAGCTAGCTAGGCCGTGTGCTATTAAGGTGTTTAACTATTATCTAATTATTTTAATAAGAAATATAAACACACCCATAGGACTAGTAGCTAAAAAAATAAATAAGCTAGGCTAAAAAGTAATAGCTAAAAAAGTAAACAAGCCTATAAATAATTTAAAAAATAAAGGGATATTAATAATAAAAAAAATTAAATATCTTAATAATTGTTAAAAATATTTACTAGTGGCTAAGTTAAATAACTAGCTAGTATTATTAATAAGTAATTATAAGGTTATTAAATTATTATTTTTAATTATAAAAATTTACTCCTGCCTTATTAGTTCTAGACTAAAAATTAATTTTAAAGTAATAATATTATTAGTATATATTAGTAAGCTTAAATATATTTAGCCTAAAAGTTACTTTAATTTTAGTAAAAATAAATTTATAAACACAGGGTATATAATTTTTTAAGCTTTTTATTTATTAATTTATATATTTTTTATTTTTTAACCAAGAAATAGTAGGTTTTTTATAACTTAATAAAAAATTAACTAGTTAATATCCTATGCTAGAAAATAAGTATATTATATAAAAAATAAAATAGCTATATAATATATTATAAAGTTAATAAAAAATATAGTCCCCTAGTTAAATTTTTTTATAAATTATTATTTAACCTGCTAAAAGACCTTTAACTAGTAGGCTAATATTATTAAAGTATTATTTTATTTAGTTTAAGCCCCCTTTATGTTATTTAAGATTATTAATTAAAAGGCTAAGAAAATAAGTCTTTATTAAGGTGTTAAGGACTAAAGGAAGGAGCTGTAAAAAAAATTAAAAAAGTAAGTTTTTTTAAATTTATTAACTAGTTAAAAAAGAAAAGGTTCCCCGCTAACTACTAAATATAAAAGATTTTTAAAAGTTTAGGAGTTTAATAAGCTTTTTAATAAATAAATAAAAAATGAAATGTTTTTTTAATTAAGTGAAGGGTAAAAGTTAATAAAATAAAAAATAATAATAAAAAGCAAGAAAAAAAGATTTACTAGGCTTTTTAAATACCAAGAATTTCTTAGTTAACGCCTCCTGGCCTAATTTTAATTAGCATGCCTAATTAAAATATTAAGTTTACTTAATTAATTATATTACCTTAACATGCTACCATTGTTATTAGTATATAATTTAAAAATTTATAAAATTATTAATTAGTTACTAAAATTAGCTAATTATATTTTAGGTAAAGAAAAGGGGTCAAGGGCGGTGCCCGATGGCAGTATTGGGTGCGTGCTGTTGGGGCCGACGTTGACACCCTGCATTTTATTATTTTAATACTTATTATAGGCTAGTTATTATTAAGTGTAAACTAGGGGCCTTTTAGCTAATTAAACTTTTTTATAAGTTTAAATAAAAAGTAACCTAAAAGCATTTAAGTAAACCTAGGGGTAGTTAATTTTAATATAAGCTGGCTAGGGTATTTATATATAATATATATTTTAAAGTTACTTTACACGGGGTATAGTACTATAACCTTATTTTATACTTTTTTTATACTTTATTTTAACTTCTCCGGCCTTAATTAGCTAAATTTTAATAATATTATTTTTTATTAGGCTAAGTTAGCTAATAAAAGGCCTTTAATAACTTTATACTTTTTTTTTACTTGCTAAGCTAATGTTTATACTAAATTTAAACCCTATACCCCTTTTTTACTTACTAAGCTGCTTCCCGAGCTAAATTCAAGCTGCTAAAATACTAAAATAATAAGGGGTGTATAGTTTAGCTAGCCAATAATAGCTTTATAAGGGGTGTATACCTTATAAAATTAACTAATAATAAACCTTTAGCTTTTTAATAGCTTTTCCCCGCGTTAGTTTTGTGTTATAAAAAGTATATAATTTTATAGCTAGCTAATAATAAGCCTTTAATACCTTTATACTTTTATTCCCCGCGCCGAGCTACTTCCCGTATATAAATTTTTAGGGCATTAAGATATTAAGGGGTATAGCTTGTTTAGCTAGTTAATAGCAGCTTTATAAGGGGTGTATACCTTGTATAATTAGCTAATAACAAGCCTTTAACACCTTTATACTCCTATTCCCCGTGCCAAGCTGTTTCTCGCGCTAGATTTAAAATACTAGGATACTAAAATAATAAGGGGTGTATAATTTACTTAGCTAGCTAATAATAGCTTTATAAGGGATATATACCTTATAAAATTAGTTAATAACAAGCCTTTTAATATATTTATAGTTTTATTTCCCGCGCTAAATTTAAAATATTAAAATAAGATACTTTTACTACTCCCGCGCTATAAGGGGTGTATAGCTTGTTTAGTAAGTTAATAGTAACTTTTTAAAAAATATATATTTTATTAAACTAGCTAGTAACTGGCCTTAAATATTTTTATACTTTTTTTTTTATGCTACTGGGCTAACACGCCATAAGAGGTATACTAGGGGTATAGTTTATTAAATTAATTAATAAAAGGTTAATAAATAGTTTTTTTTACCTATAAGCTTTATATATTTTTTAATTAAAAAAACTACTGGATTTAATTTTTTATATATATTAGTAATTTACCATATTTACTAATTAAAGGGTGTATTAAATACTTCCTGCCTTAGTGCCTTAAGTATTTATACTTACTTATTTAGGACTAGCTACATGTGACCTGTAAACCTTATATATAACATTTCCGGTAGCCACCTAATAGGAGACTCAGGCTTCACCTGCAACGCTCTCTATGTTATTCATCCATCCCCGATGTCCACTTCCAAGCCCGACTGCCCAGACGGATTGTCTCGCCTCAACCCTCCCAGAAAGCATCGCCAACCCACCATCGGTCTGATTTCTGAAGAGCCCTTCGGAACAGGTACGGCCGAGCCCTTCTCTCCTCATCAGATTCCCTCACGCGCTGGAATGGCCAAACCGCCAAGATAGACCCTGGAATTAGCCCTGTCAGATAGAACGTTGGATGTTGCTGAGATGCATCGTTGTTGGTGGAATGAAAAGGGCCGTGTCGAAGATATGACCATGTGCACCCGGCACAAGTATCACTCTGATCTGTCAATGTGGATGGACCTTCTGACTGACACCATGGCGAGGAGTATATAAAGGCCGGACGCTTGGATAGAGATCTGCCTCTCATACATACATCGTTAAGGCTCGCAAGGTTCTGGCTACCATGATGCTCAAGCCACTTACGGCCATCGTGCCTCAGCTTGCGGCAGGAGTGACTCTGGCTCAAGGGCAAGCGGCGCCCGTCTCCTATTCCCTCCAAGTCCTCTCCTCATCTCCGTACGCCTTCGCCATCACAAACAGCGAGGGCGAGGCTGTCGTCACAAACGCCGCGACCCTAGCAGGCAAGACAAATACCTCCATGACCGCCGTCTCTGTGGACTCCAAGGACACACGGATCAGCACGGAGTTCATAACACCCTCCATCGTCCGAGTGACAACCTCAACATCAACGGAGAACTTCCTCTGCGCCCAGTTCAATGTCTCCACCGACGCAAAGCACTATGGCGTTTGGTCGTACCCGTTCAACCGCTCGATCATCAACGACGACATCGCATTCGACATCAAAGGACTGCAAGGGAACGACGGGATCAACTACGCTAGTGCGCGCTCCCCCTTCTTCATCGACAGCTCCGGCTTCGCGGTCTATGCGGACACACAGGCTATGGGGTCGTACGAGTTCCCTGCTTCGACCAGCGACGGCCAAGGCCAGATTTCATTCCGGTTTGACACTACAGATCTGACGTACTACATTATCTTGCCCCGCTCCGATGGGAGGGATAAGTTTAAGAGTCTTCTAACACAGTATGCGAGCCTCACGGATCCGTCCCCGCTCTGGTCGCCTAGGGGGTATGGGCCCATGTTCTGGCATAATGACTTCCAGCGCGAGAGTGCGTGGCCGGAGGGGGTGAGTAGTGCGCAAGAGTTTGTGGCTGACGTCGTCGATAAGCTCGCTGGGGAGAAGGTTAGGGCTAGTGCTATTATGGTTGATCGGCCGTACGTCTTCGCTATCCACGATCGTAGGCTCGAAAAATGCTAATGATGTTTAGGTACGGCACCGGTACAGAGGGCTGGGGGAACTACGACTTCGACCCTGCATACTGGCCTGATATCAGCGGGTTGATCAGTGATGTTGCAGAGAAAGGGTTGGACTTTCAGGTTTGCGCAACCTTGGATGGCATAGTTATACCAAGTTAGGCTAACACTGGAACACCAGGTCTGGGTAGCGAATCGCGCCGTCCCTGCCTCTAAACTCCACAACCAGAGTCTCGCAAATGACTGGCTCTTCCTCGAAGCCCAAACGCCACTCCAACAGGGCCTGGCCCTGAACCTCTCAATCCCAGAAACGTACACCTACCTACAACAACAGATGAACTTCTTCCCCGAGCTAGGCGTCAGGGGCTACAAGATTGACCGTGGCGACGAAAACGAGATGCCGATCCATGAGGAAAACCGGCAAACCTACCTCTTCCACAAACTCATGTATGAGAACCAAGCAGCATACTGGGGCGGCGCCACACCGACCAAACCAGCGGGCTTCTACACATTCGCCCGCAGCGTCCACGACAGATCCAGACAATACACCGGCGTCTGGGCCGCAGACCCGGCTTCAACCGAGAACGGCCTGGCACAAAGTATCCGCCACGGCATCCGTTCGGGACTCTTGGGGTTCCCGATGTGGGGAAGCGATTGCGGCGGGTATACGCGGCGAGTCGGGGACGGCCGCCCTTCTAAGGATCTTTGGGCGCGCTGGATGTGGTTTTCCGCATTCAGCCCTGTGTATGAACTTATGCTGTATGAGGGAAGTATACCCTGGTACGACTACTCGGATGATCTGATGGACGTACTCCGCGCCACGGCTCAGTTGCACACTGAGCTGATCCCGTTTATCCAGAGCTATATCTACCGCGGGGGTAGAGATGGTTTACCAGTGATACGGGCGTTGTTCCTCGAGACGCCGGATGATGACAATGACCAGGTCTGGCGTGGTGACCAGGCCTATTTCTTCGGTGCGGAGTTCCTTGTTGCCCCGATGACAGCTGATACGCGAACCGTTTATTTTCCTGGAAGTGGCAACGACAAATACCTTGAGTATTTCAGTAAGAGGGATGTGTATAAGGGTGGGACCGAGCATACATTTACGCTCAACACCTCTTCCGTCCCGGCGTTCGTGCGCGAAGGCGCCATCGTACCGAGGGGCGACTTGTACCGCGCTAACAACCGCTGGGATGAGGAGTGGCGACCGTGGCTGAATGTTGAGGTGTATCCGGGGTATGGTGTTGAAGAGTCTGACTTTGTTTACTTCGATGAGGGGCGCGGAAGGACGGTCGATATTGCCATGGTGGCTGAGAAGAGATCTAAAAGGGTTTGCGTGGAGTATGGAGCGCTGGGTGTGCAGGGGGAGCTGAGGGTGTATCTAAAGCGGGATGTGAAGAGATTCAAGTTGAAAGATAGGGGAGGCAAGGAGTGCATAAGGGGCGTTGAGACCCTGTTTGAGTAGGCTGCTGTATGTTCCATCTGCGATTCCGCGGATATCTGAATCAATATGTTGCTTGCGTTGGATGCGGTGCGGTACACAGAGAAGCTAAATCAGACTAAAAAGGAGCAGGCAGATGCAGATGCAGATGCATATGTGTGGAATCGCTAAATCAAGACAAAAACAGATCCAACTGGAATGATGAATCAACTAGGTGAACTTCCGCGCGCTCTCCACATTATCAATCACATTCTGCACTGTGTGATGGAAGCCATGTTAGCCGTGCTATCTCATTCCATCTACCTGCGTAGAAACAGCGAGAGGACATACCCGTGTTCCAAAGGCCCGTTGACTCAGATGGGATATCGAAGTGGTATACCTGAGCAGCATTAGGACATTGTCGTCATGGCAGGAGGACGGACACAGAGAAGTAAGCTCCTTACATCAATCAGACGCCGCCGGATCTCGTCAAGCTGGTCGTCTGTTGGGTTGAGGTGTGCGCTGCCGAATGCGAGGCCAGGGTGGACCTGTGCGTTGTTAGCAATTAGCATATTGAAATAAAATAAGAGAGGCCAGAATGACGGAAAGGGAAAGGACATACTCGGTTCTTGGGGACTTGCACCACGTCCGCGATGATGTTTGTTACTGTGCGCTGGGTTGCGAAGTCGGACATGCTGGCTGTGGTGCGGACGGATTCGTTGGGGTAGCGAGATGGCCGTGAGAGGAGAGTAACGGGAGGAGGAAGATATTTCGAGTAGAAAGATAGAGAAGGAGTTTGTGGCTTTGCAAGGAGTATTTAATCGGCTCCGGTGAGTGACAGTGGATCGTAAGATGTTGCGGTGGTGAGATCATGGCGACGTACCGTAGGTACGGCTCCACGTACCGCATGGCTCTCGAACAATCCACCAACTACCTGACCATGCTCCGACTTTGCACTGAGCACACTATCAGATCTGGTTCCTGATCCAGAGATGAAGCACTTCGATTTTCAGCGCCACCGCTCGATTCTCCTGATGGAGAGTGTGATGCATTCTCAGACCTACGCCGCCCTGCGTAGATAACGGCATGGTCACGTGGACTGGCATTGTATAGTCCGTTTGGACTCTTGAACCAGCAGCACTCCCTCTTCCTCCCCAGTCACCTCCTCTGCTCTTAGCAGTCCACCTAATCTTCCCTCAGCAGTCGATGTTCAGCCCCGGAGTCACTTTTAAATCTGCATACCTCTGACCGATCGTACTCCTACAGGCACAGTGAATGGAACCGGTCCTCTGCGAACCAAACGGTTGTGTTGTGTTGTGTTAGCCATCGTTGACTGTCTTCTTCAACCTTGACTGATAGCCAAGATGGACTTTGTCGAACGGATCATAGGAAGAGAGACGGTATTCGCGTTCAAGCTTGCCTTCACAGTTGGTTCCACCGTCCTCGGCTACACCCAGAGTTCGATTTGGGTCATGCTCCATGGCTACGCTGAGCAGACCTGCCTCTCTACCGTCCATGTCACCGATAGCGACCCCCTCTACCGCAATGTCGTCAAGTGGATGGAGGAACACGTCTTCAAGCATCGCAGCTTCCGGTCCGTCAAGGCTGTGACTGATGGTCAGTCGTCTGACGGATCTTCCTCCCGCAGCCACCGCCGCCAAATGATGATAGATCGATGGTTGGGGAGTCCTCCCAAAAGCCAAGCTTGGCCACTCGATCGCCCGTCCATCAAGCTCAAGCCCTACACTGGATCGCTCTTCTTCACCTTCAATGGAAAGTGGATATACTTCACCCATTCGACCAAGACCGGGGTGGATCGTTCGGAAACGCTTGACAGAAGACACCTCACCCTCCAGACATTCGGCCTCTCCCATCACTACCTCCATCTTTTCCTTGAAGAAGCTACCTCGTACTGCCGCAAGGTTAAAAAAAACAAGGTCAGCGTCTACCGTCCAGGTAGCGGTATCGACAGATGCCAGTGGGAACCAATCGCCACGCGTCCGGCCAGGTCAATTTCGACGGTTATCTTGGATAGCAGCAAGAAGGAAGCTGTGTTGGCAGATATGAAAGAGTACCTTGATCCCGAAATCAGACAGTGGTATACCAACCACGGCATTCCCTACCGTCGCGGATACTTGTTCTCTGGCCCACCCGGCACCGGCAAAACCAGCCTGTCGTCTGCCCTTGCTGGTGTGTTCGGCCTCGACATCTACATCTTCAGCCTCGGGAACCAGATGATTGGGGAATCGGAGTTTGAAACCCTATTCTCCCATATTCCCGCCGCGTCTATAGTGCTCTTAGAGGACATCGATGTGGCGGGGATGGCCCTGCGCAGGGATGGCCTGCAGCCTGCAACATCTGGCCCCCCTACCGGTACAGCCGCCGAAGATGGGTATTTCGAAAGGGCTGCTAGAGGCGCAATTCGCTACCCGCCAATCTCACTTTCAACACTGCTTAACGCAATTGACGGCGTGTCTTCGCAGGAGGGCCGCATCCTGATCATGACTACCAACGCCCCGCAAGACCTCGATCCCGCCCTCATCCGCCCGGGTCGTGTCGATATGCACGTCCAGTTTGATCTCCCGTCCCGCGCCGAGTTCCGCGAACTGTTCTGCGCCATGTTCACCGATGTTCTGTCCAAGGAGGCGATTATCAACACGGGGAATGAATCGTGTGATGCCGAGAGTGGAAAGGTGGAAACGGAGGAATTCAAGCCTGCAGACTTGGAATCCCTTGCAACTTTGTTCGCAAAGGCTCTACCAGAGGGCAAATTCTCCCTCGCGGATATCCAGGGCTTCCTGCTGCGCCACAAGCGTCAGCCCTCGGAGGCTTGTGTTAAAGTGGCTGCTTGGGTGGAGGAGCATTTGGGGTAAGGCGCCTTGGCTTTTATGATGTGACGTTCCAGATACCCTTCCTCGGCACTGATTGTATGTCCTGGCGTCGGCGTTCCTCCTTTTTTTCTGTTGTCGTGATGGACACCATGGCTGGGCTCCCGCGTTACAGGTTACCTTGTCCCTTACCGGTGTAGAGACCTTCTTGGCACTGTCCAGCGCGTTCCATTCAGTTTCTACCCAACGGTGTTGTCGTGGCGGTTTGGCTTTACTCTTCGGAACATCTAGATCATCCCTTAACCAATCTGGTCTCGGCCTGCGAGCCACTGGCTTCATAGGGAAGTCATCCAGATAGAACGCACTCAATATGTCACATAAAGGGTCTTGATCTACCGAGTAATAACGATGCCTTCAACCAAACACCCCAAGAGGGTCGGTCAAATGTAGACTTCACAAGCATGCAAGCAGTTGCAGAACGTTCAACAGAGACCAAGAGAACATAAAGGCTAACCAAGTGGCTCCAGATAATTCCAGTAGTCAGCATCCATCAACTCAGCTTTCCCCCCCCAACCATGTGCACCTAAGCAATCGCAATACGATGCGGCCATCCTTTCCTTGTCCTCGGCTGAAGAGCGCCTTCTTGGAAGCTCAGCCCGCTATCTGGATCACCGCTGTATTCGAGCACTTGATGAGGCTTCAGGGTTCGAAATATCCTTTGCGAGGACTGCAGGTGGTTAGCATCAACATCAACCTGTCACCATGAACCCGGGTTGAGACCTGCACTGATACTGATTCTTAGGTACCGGGAGAAGACACGTAAGTTTCGTCTTGAGAACGACAACGTTTACTGAATTGACTTGTCTTTCAAGTCGACATCATAAGTTGAGTTGTTCGGCCTACATTTCACAATGGCTGGCCGGGCCAGCGTACTGCCCGATCGAGGACTACGGCCCCATCTGCAACATGCACACTTGCGTACTTGCTAGCAAGCTGGGCAGCCTTGACATCATGTGCTGGGCCGTATTCGACTCGCCGTCTATTTTCTGGACTGCTGGATTAAGACGAGGGCGGGCACGGGCACCTTTCCATCGCTGCCGCGCTCGACCAGCGCCATCAGCAAGCAGAAGGATCTTCCCCACACCAAAATCCTTAATACAAATTGGCTTTGATGAGATGGGCCCGGTGAGGTGCTGGGTTTCTTCTCCTGTAGCCAGAGCTTCATGACTAAGAGCAAGAAACATGACGGGTGCAGCTGGATACATTCCATGTGCGGCTGGACAGTATCTATGCCCACCGCAGATTCGCCAGATTGGTGTCGCATGCTTGGTGGCGGCATCTCCGTCAAATTGTCAACTATGTCATGACGCTGCGCCATGAACCCGACATGTCCATCTGGGAAGTCCGCGGCGAGAAGAAGAACTTTGTCTTTGGAGCTCTCCGGGTTCGTGCTCTGGGTTGCGCTGGATCGTGCTATTCGGCTCTCGTTCAAGAGGTCTGACCTGCGCTGCCCGAATCGGCTGCATTGGCAGTCGGCTTTGGTGCTGAATGCGCCGCTCGTTCTCGTCCTTACGCCCGATGGTCCCGGGCCTCTGAGCATGCTGGAGCATACCATGAAGATGCCCAGAAGGCAAGTTTCTGATGGTAACCTTCTGCTTGATTGAGGCAATGGGTTGTCTCGGTAACTCCGACTGATTCCACATGCCTAGCTAATCGGCCCAGGCCTTTAGGTTTACGGCAAAGGTTCGCACACGAGATCATCCGCCGCTGCTCGAGCTTCGCCGCAAGTATCTAGCCACTTTGCCTTGATTGGTGTGGCCATGAATGTTGCGAAAGAATAGTTTGGCCTCTGTTGTGGTTCGGAAGATGGCGGATTAGGGCTCGCTCCACGTCATGGAGTCGCCGTGGGTCCATACCATCGTGACGCAACGCAACGTCACGAACAGAACCTGAAAAGACAATTTAATCATGCCATCGACATCAACCATCCTCAACATATCCAATTCCCCCTGCTCAACCACCATGAAAATCGCAATCACCGGCGCCCGCGGCACAGTCGGCCGCGCCTGCGTCGCGCTGTGCTCCAAGGCCGGCCACGCAACCGTGCAAATCGACCGCACCGAGCAAGAGTACGACGGCACCCCAAACAGCGAGATGCGCACCGCCGACGTCGCAAACGACTACGACGCGCTCCTCAAGGCCTTCAAGGGCTGCGACGCGCTGATCCACCTGGCCGCACTCCCCGACCCCGTCGGCAAAGACGACTGGACAGTGCACAACAACAACGTCAGCTCTGCGTTCAATGGTTTCTACGCCGCCGGCAAACTGGGGATTACAAAGGTCTGCTACGCGAGTAGCGTGAATGCCGTCGGTCTCGCGTACGCCACGCAGCCCCTGCATTTCGACTACTTCCCGCTAGACGAGGACGCGCCGCAACGCCCGACGGACGCATACGCTCTAGCGAAACAAGAAGCCGAGATGCAGGCGCGCAGTTTCGTCAACTGGTTCCCTGGCATGAACATCGCTTGCCTGCGGATCCACGAGGTCGCGCCGCTGAAGGACGTGCGGGAGGAGCACGAGGGGAACTGGGACGAGGCGGCTGTGCGGCAGTTGTGGGGGTGGGTGAATCCGACGGCTGTGGCGAGGGCGTGTCTGCTGAGCGTGGAGAGGGCGGAGAATCTGCAGGGTGCGCAGGTGCTGAATATTTGTGCGCCTGCGACAACGCAGGATACGCCGAGTGCTGAGCTCGCGAGCAAGTACTATCCGAATGCGGAGATCCGGAGGGGTCTAGAGGGGAATAAGGGGTTCTGGACGACGGATAAGGCGAGGAGGGTTCTTGGGTGGACGCATGATGAGACGGAGTAGGGTGTGGTCTGGGTGCTGCCTTTGTATCTCCCGTCAGTCCGCAGGGGGGGTATTAAGTATAGCAATAGTATAGTAGCAATAGTAAATTATTATTAAATATAGCCGTACCATTATATTACACTTAATTATAATATTAATAGTATATTAAAAAAAATATATTAAAAAAAATATATATATACTGCGTGAATATAGCTTTATAGCTTTAAAATAAATTATTTAAAATATATTTAATATTTTTAAAATATATTAAAAGCAATTTATAAGGAATATATATTAATTATAAAAAATATATATTTAATATACTAAATATATATTAAATATGTATTAAATAAGTTAATATATATTTATTAAGTTTAATATATTTTTAATATATATTAACTTTTATAATATATATTTATTAAGTTTAATATATATTCTTAGGTTTAAAATATAACTATATAATAAAAACCTACCTAGTATATAATTTAATAATAGTTATTAAGTATAAAGTAAGATATTAGTAGTTTAAAAAGCTTAAAAATATTTAAAAAATATAAAAAGGTTATTAAATAATATTATAAATTATTACTATAAATTATTACCAGGAAGAATTAATAGGAATTACTAGGGATTAATTAATAAAAAAATTAATAAAAAAATTAATAGGGAGATTATAGCTAAAAATAATTTTTAAAAAGTACTAAAGGTTAGTACTAAATATTATAGTTAAAAGATTACTAAAAAAATTATTAAGTATTACTACTAAAAAACGCCGGAGGCTACTAAAAAGTATTACTAAAAAGTGCTAAAAAGATTACTAGAAATTACTAGTAAAAAGCACTAAAAGGTACTAAAAATTACTAAAAAGCACTAAAAGTGCTAGAAATTACTAGGGATTACTAAAAATACTAGTAATTTTTAAAAATTACTAAAAAGCACTAGGAATTATTAAAAAGTGCTAAATGGCACTAGTAATTAATAGGGATTATTAAGGGTTATTAAAAAGTGCTAAAAAGTACTAAAGGGCGCTGTTAATTACTAGGGATTACTAGGGATTACTAGGGATTACTAAAAATAATACTAGTAAAAAGTATTAAATATTATTAAAAAGCGCTAAAAAGCATTAAATACCACTAGTAAGTATTAATAAAAAGCACTAGATAGCGCTAGTAAAAAATGCTAAAAAGCGCTAGTAAAAAGTGTTAAAAAGCGCTAGTAAAAAGCGCTAGGGAGCGCTAGTAAAAAGCGCTAGGAAGCAGTAGTAAAAAGCGTTAGGAAGCACTAGTAAAAAGTGCTAAAAAGTGCTAGTAAAGAGCGCTAGAAAGCGCTGGTAAAAAGCGCTAGGAAGTACTAGTAAAAAGCGCTAGGAAGCGCTGGCAAAAAGCGTTAAAAAGCGCTAGTAAAAAGCGCTAGGGAGCGCTAGTAAAGAGCGCTAGAAAGCGCTGGCAAAGAGCGCTAGAAAGCGCTAGTAGAAAGCGCTAGAAAGCGCTAGTAAAGAGCACTAAAAAGCGCTGGTAAAGAGCGCTAGGGAGTGCTGGTAAAAAGCGCTAGGGAGATTATTAGGAATTACTAGCAAAAAGTAATAAAAAAAGTAATAAAAAAAGCGCTGGGAAGCCATATATATTACTAGGAAGTGCTATATAATAATAATATTACTAAAAAGTGTTAAAAATTACTAAAGCACGCTAGTAATTACTAGGTATTATTAAAAAGCGCTTAAGGGCGCTAAAAGGCGCTAGGGATTATTAAAAATTATTATAAAATACTAAAAAAAGTGCTAATAAAAAGCGCTAGCAAAAAATATTATAAAGCACTGGGTATTATTAAAAAGCACTAAAAAATACTAAAAAGCATTAAAAAGCGCTAAAAAATACTAAAAAGCACTAGGATTACTAAAAAACACTAGGGTTACTAAAAAGCACTAGTAATTATTAGGGAATATTATAGGGTGTTAATAATTATTAATATAAAGTGCTAGTAAAAAGCGCTAGGAATTACTAGAAATTAATAGGTATTACTAGAAAGCGCTGGAGAGAGTGTTAAAAAAAGCACTAAAAAAACTAAAAAGTATTAAAAATTACTAGAAATAGCGCTGGCAAAGAGTGCTAGATAGTATTAGGTATTACTAGGGAATGCTAAAAAATGCTGAATAGTGTTAGAAATTGCTAGGGAGCGCTAAAGGGCTCTAGGGATTATTAAAAAATACTAAAAATTACTAGGGATTACTAGGGATTACTAGGGATTACTAG